CCCTAACTTTTCATCATCAAAAACTTTGTGTTGTTTGGAACTCTCTCTTTTTACACTTTTTATTTTATCTCTAAAACCAAAAAGACCAAAAATATTTTACAACTTCTTTTGTAAACTTTTGTTTAAATTAAATTAACTCACGTCTCCCTGAGGTTCGACACCCTACTTACAAGGGTTCTTTTTAGTTGTTAGTTTTGCCTGTTCTATACTGCAAACCACCACGCTATGGCGGTTCCCGTAACCAGCTTAACATACACCGTACTATGCTTTGTTGAGGCTGAGTACATGACAGTGCACATTAGCCGGATAGGTGCCGGGCGTCAGAAGGCAACAGACTTTATATTCGTGAGGGATTTATAATTTCGATCTCACCTATCGACATGTCCGTGCACATGTCCATTACTAGCGTTGAACATACATTCAACATGCATTCACAAAACGCAGTAAATAAACGTGTAATGATTGTGGCCCCCTAAAAAACGATAGCTCCCACTGGCTTCCGGGCACTTGAACTTCAGGCTATCTCCATTCTTTTAGATTTCTCCAAACGGTCATCAAATCTTTTCATCTTCTAACCACCACGTGAGAAAAGAATCCACGGTTGAGGTAAGAGAGAGAAATAGATTTACAACAAGAGTTTAAAAGATAAGGCACGACACGCAGGCCGTATTATAATCAAATAAACTATAGCCACAATCATCCACCATGCATATCATACATCCAAACAGGCAATAGAGATATACATACACCGGGTGAACCCCGCTCACCCGAGACAGTTCTAGAAAAATACTACGATAGTAAATATTTTTCTAAGACTCATAAAATTAAATTAGATGTCCAAATAAATCTAATAAAATTTTATAATAATCATTTTATGCATTCTGGATATTCTGCCCGCATAAAAAATCCAGAATATTCCAATTGACGAAAATGCCCTTTTTGCAAAATTATTTTCAATAAGGCAATAAACTTTCAAAACAATTTTGCAAAAATCATGAAAATTAAATTTCAACTTCCAGTAGTTATTTTTAACATTTATAAACCTGGAAATAAAATTTCCATAATTTATAAATCATTATTTCAGAAATATATTAGTTAAATCTCAATAAGTTATAAAAGGCCATTTAAATTATTTTCGAAAATACTAAATTATAAAAATTTAATATTTCAAAAACATTCTTTTTCTTACTGAGATATAACTTTTCAAAATATATATTAGTCATTTATGTAATTAAAATACAAATATATAAATATATATAATATTCTGGTAATAATACCGAGTAGATATATAAATATATATTTATTTAATTACTAACTAATATTATTTTGTACAATATATTTTTCAACAACCTTATTCATCTTAGAAATAATATTTCTAAGTTTAATAAAGTTCTTTTTGAATTTTCCCATATTTATTTTCGGTTTTCACCTAAATAAATACAATAAATTCAAAATAGGAAATAATACATTCAAAACTTACAATATAATTTTATCAATCATAAAATGATGTTTTTTGTCCAAATAAAATTATATTTACTATTTATACAATATATATAAATATATATTTCAAAAAATCAAAATATATGTATTTAAATATATATTACGGGTAGAAATAAAATAAATAAATTTAAAGGTAACCATGCAAGGATAGGCAGCGGAATATAAAACTTTTAACATCCTAACATGATTATCTTGCCCAGAATCACATACTAAAACTTATAGTGAGTAAGAAATTTATACCTTTCTCCGTAAGCGATAAAAACGAAGAAATCGTAGGAAGAGCGTTGAAAGTGCAAACGTAACCGTTCAAGCGTTCGGTCTCCAACTTTGACACACGAACAACTCCGGAGTCTACCAAAATTTTTATGCTAGTAAAGATTATAGTAGTATAAAATATAAAAATTAAAATTGGGATAATAAAAATCTTGTATATTTCTATAGAAAATATTTCTAATAATATTTAGAAAATATTATAGATATTTTCTACACACAAAATGATATATGTGTAACCAAAATAATATTTTACCTCACTAAAATTATTATGGCCGAAAGTATGCCAAACTTATCAATTGATGATCTTCACACCTATTTTAAATTGCAATGTGCCGTGCAATTTGCACAGCGTGAGGGCGACGTGCTCTACTCTCTTGTCAAGAGCACGCCGATAGAGCTTTCAATTGAGCAGCTTGGGCTCATCGCCGGCCTCCCCTACCAAGGCGACGACGTCTCCCTCCATGGTAGAGAGGACTGGGTGCTCAAGAACGAGAGCCTTATCCTCAACGAGCTTGGCATCACCGAGCTCATCCGCCATGCCTCGGGCCGCCCCACCATCCACTCCGCTAACCCCGAAGGCTGTCTTCTTCTCTACATCGTCTCCCGGATCATCAAACCCAGGAAGCACGGCCACACCATCATGTCCGGTGAAGATCTCAAGCTCATCCATGCGATCATGCACTCGGCCCCAATCAATTGGGCAAAGTTTGTCATGATCAACATGATGATTGCCGCGTCCACCAACCACGACCACCTCCTCCCGTACCCGTTCGTGGTGATGGACATCCTTGAACGGTTCAAGGTGACCACCACCGTTGGCCCACTCACAAAGGCCACGAAGATTTGGGCGGTTAGCACCCAAACCTTCAAGAAGCGGTCGGACAACGCCGGACCTGCCACTGCCGAGCCACGGCCCCATTCTGCTGCTGGCCCAGCCGAACCCCAGGCCCGGGCCAACCTTGCCTCCATTGCTGACTCTCTCAACCGGCTTCACTTCAAAGTTGATGGGATGGATGGCTACCTTGAAAGACTTGACGAGGCGGTCCAACGCCAAGGGTACGCCATGAACGCGTACTTCTAACGCGTTAACTACGTCCCCCCACCGTACCATGGCACGTTCTTTGGGCAAGTGTACGGTGAGGAGGACGAAAAGGATGGCTCCTACGCCCCGTCAAGCTCCCCGGACGAGGACGAGTTCGACGACGCCGTTGACGGTGATGAGATGGACGACGACGACGAGGAGGAGGAAACGAAGACGAAGACTAGGCCGCCCCTAGAATTTCTATCTCTTTTATTTTAATTATC